ATGCGAACTGTAGGGTTAGAAACATCAGAGTTTTAAACAAAAATTAAACCCTTTGAATTCCATAAAATATATTTATTTAAATATGTGTTGTATTCGCGTGTATACAAGAAATCTTAGCTAAATGTAGTTAGCGATGTCAAGTGACTGCCCCTTCTGGTAATCCACAGATATCCGATTAAAAATTAACTTACAATGTAACTATGTAACACTATAAATTTGAAATCCTAAGAACACTAAAACGGAACGGTTAAAATTCAATTTAAATGTGGATTTAAAATTTTAAAATGTAAGGAAAAAAAAATCATGACTACAGTAAATAGAAAAAATATATTAGTGTTCAGCTATATATCGTAGTAAATAAAACTTACTAGGTAGCATAAATTTGTTAGTTAAATCTAAAAATAATGATAATCTGCATGCCTGAGATTCTTTACTGGGATATTTTACAAGGAACCATTTAAAGACTGTCATTTAATAAACGTATACAGAAGTTACTAGAGTAACTCGGAAAGACATTGAATCTGCAACATTGTTCATATTTACCATATTTGCCATAAAGTGTATACGAAGTTCATAGGTGACGCGTATAGAGTATGTACGTGTATATAATGTGTATAGTATCATACGCGTAATCTTTCTTACATTGATGTCTCCAAATGAACTATTACTAGATCTATTAACAATATTTACACGTCCTTATGAAAATATCAGAAAAAATTGAGTTAATTAACTAGGTTTTATTATTTTTGAAATGAATTACCGTGGTAGGGCCACGCAGCACTACGGTGGTAGGGCCACTCAGCAGCCTCGGCTGTTGCACGAATGGGCAGGCCCGTCCGGTTAAGTACCACGACCTCACAGAAGACCAGCGTAAAGTGGAAGTATGACAAATACTTTCGCGTTTGGTCTGGTGAGTGAGGTAGCCGGAGCCCAATTTTCAAAAGGTTGTCAACGCATCTGTAACCCTCGGGTGTAGCAGATATAGATGGGCGGCGGTATTCACTTACCATCAGGTGGGTGAACCGTTGCTTGTTTGACAACTTTTCACATAAAAAAAAAGAAGTAAACCTCTGATCCGGACCAATTATCTAGTTACAAATACTTGTCCTGTGGAAGTCGAACCCACGACACCCGTCCCCAACGCAAATGCTTAGCAACTGTCCCATCGAGTCATCACACCTTATTATCATCACTATCACAGTAAAGTAATAAAAAGCTGTTATTTTTGTCATTTAACGATGTGTCATATGCGATATGCTTCAGTTAACAACTGAATGTGTTGATATAGTTTGACCTACTTTGTATCTGCATTACAAAGCGATGACATACCTATATCAATTATGATATCTATATTTGATACTTATTTTTTCATGGTTCATGACTGAACAGGTACACCCAGAAATGAACAGAATAACCTAGCTAAAGTAAAGTTTTTTTCATTATGTGACTGACAAAACAATTTTAACAATTTTAACTTTTTCACTTGAAACAAACTGAAAAATTGAAAATACTGTAGAAATAAATATCGCATGAATTGGGTGAAGCATACCAACAAACATAAATGCTGCGTTAAATCAGTCAACCGTCACAATAACGAGGGAAATTTGAATCGTGTTGTTTTGAATTTCATATGTAATAACCTAATAATATTTGTAAAGTAAATATTATTTGTTAAGTATACCATTAATAAAATATAACCTTAAGGAGTTTTGATCGGAGCTCAGTCGGAATCGAGTCTCCATTAACACTAGTTATCACCACTGTAAATAATGGTTTGGTTTTTGCTTATGAGGTCAAAAATCTGCGCTAATCAAAAGTTTTCATTGAATGTTGTTAAAATAACATTTCCTATCAGAACAATAGGCATGTTAAAACAAGTGTTCTACGCACTATTTTAATGATAGTCGACTGTTATAAATGAAACAAGGTCAATGTCGCCACCGCTTTTTATAATGTAATTTTGTGACTCGTACCAAGGACCTCTCTATTTTGCTCTTTATCGAGGCGACGACAGTTTTAGACTCGAGAAATTATGGTAACGATCTAAGCGTGATCGCGGAGGACTATTTTCGAGCACGCTAAGATCAAAGAAACGTCAGTGATATCAAACTTCTAAAAGTATCTGAATATATGAGATTATATATAATATCTAATCTCACATTTTTGAAATTTTAATTTTAATATGTTCATATGAGCTCGGATCAATAGGTTAAGAATGAAAGCTCCCTCTTTTAATAATTCTGGATTATGAAAAATTATTTTGGCTACACAAAATTACTCTCTCATTCGAAGTTGGAACTTAGTAGAGCCCTGATGACTATAAAAGTGACTTGGTGTTAGTTTAGGTTAGATTAGTTACACCAGAATGTAACAGATGTTGTAAAAATTCATTCATTAAATGCAATGGTAGTAAAATAAATTATAACAGATTTATTATAAACATTACTTTTTATTCATTCAAAAGAAAATATTGTATTTGACATACCTGAAACAATAAATCATACTCGACTTATATCGGCTAGAATCGAATTATAATTTAGACCGCCTAAGGGCAATTGGTCCGATCAAATAACAACGGTCTAATGAGAAATAATCAAATTACCTAAATGGCTCGGTCCGAATCCGATTAAAGGTAAATTATTTGATAAATTTGGACTCCTTGGGGTTATGTATACACCTAAAATTTGGCAGTAGCGTGGATGCCTTAAAGGCAATATTTACAATGAAACAAGAAGTAACATCTATATGTGTAGAGAAGAGTCTAAGAAACCTAAAAGCTTCAGCTCAAGTGCATTAATCCAGTCGGAGATGACAGGTGATGAGGATTAAATGAAATTAGGTCTCTATTTATATGGATCAGCTATGCAGCAAGTCTATTTTTATTAACGAAAAACAAAATCGACTTCAAATATCTCTCACCGTATTCATTTTATAATTGATTTTTAGAAATTCCCTTCCCTTTCAAATAAAAAAAAATCATCAAAATCTGTTCTGAGGTAACAAACAAATAAATACAGTCGAATTGAGAACCTCCTCCTTTTGAAGTCGGTTAATTAAAAGGATCAATAAAGCAAAGTCGAAATTCGTGATTTCTGCCTGCTATATCCATACTTATATTATAAATGCGAAAGTAATTCTGTCTGTCTCGCTTTCACGCCAAAACTACTGAACCGATTTAAATGAAATTTGGAACACACATAGTCTAAACTCTAAAGCCTGAGAAATATATTTTTAAAGAACATATTTATTTAAGGGCTTCAACGCGAGCGAAGCTGCGGACGAAATACTAGACTACTATAAATATGCGTAAAATTCAATATTTTTTATTAACGGCGTACTTTAATCAATGCATGATATAAAAATACATGACACTATTGCACCGAAATTGGTGCACTCAAATTACACCAATCGGTGTCCTTAGATTGCAATTCTATAGACTGCTATCTCCTTCCATCTCATACGATCTATATCATCTGTCACATTCACCTATAGATGTCATACAATGTAAAGTGGAACAATTTTTAAAAGCCGCGCGGTATGGACATGCGTCATATATATTATTAAACATCAATGACTTTAATTATCATTATTAATTTATGTCAAATTTTAGCTTCGTCCTTAACAAAGAAAAAATTCGCACGCAATTAAAGCGGAACCGAATGCGATATGGATATCCTGTTGTTGTCAGATATTTGTAAAGTTTAAATGTTCTTTTTTGTTTACATATTTTGCCATGGTCATTTACCGATTAAAGACATTGAGGGCTCTTGTTTGATTCGTAATCTAAAATTTATTTACGCATTCGTTTTGTACATTTAATTGTTAAGATTAAAGTTTTATTTTTTTTTACGTGAAAAGTTGTCAAGCGATCAGGGTGGTTCACCTGATGTTAAGTGAATACCGCCGCCCATGGACATCTGTTACAACCGAGGTTTTGCAGATGCGTTGACAACCTTTTTGAAAATTGGGCTCCAACTACCTCACTTACCAGACAAAACGCGAAAGTATTATACTTCCACTTCACGCCGGTCTTCTGTGAGGTCGTGGTACTTACCCGCACGATCCTGCCCATTCGTGCAACAGCCGAGACTGCTGCGTGGTCCTACCACAGTTAAGTGATGGTCAAAGTTGTTGTTCCAAGTTTTGTACCCTATAAACTATTGTTATTTTGGTCGCAGTTATTTAAATTCTTCCAACTCGACTCCTTTAGCCGGAGCTAACTCATTAAATTTGATTGTAGTTTCACGCTGTATCTTTCTGTCCATATTCGATAAAACATTAATAGATAATTTATTTTTTAAAAGATAACATTTTTAATAGATAATTAATATTAAAACTTTAAACACTGCAATTAATATACTTATTAATTGCAGTGTTTATGATTAATAGTTGTTAGGTAAACGTCAAAAATATCATACAACATTTTCTTTGGGTACAAAGGAGTCAAACACTTAGATTATATACAAATAGACATATTATAAATACCAAAATCCTATAGATTAATTTATTTCTAACAAGAATGGCCTTTGACGAAAAAACTATTTTATTCAAAAATATAATAATTCCAACTCATAATACTTTTACTACAATTTTTTTTATAAATAGAATGTAGCAAATTAGTAGAACCTGGTGGAGTGAACACGACACGTCATGGATTGCAGTTAGTAAGCCAATCCTTAAGTGGATGGTCCCAGGACTTTTATGGGAAAGGAATGCAAAATTATAGGTACTTCTACTTTACGCTGGCCTTCTGTGAAGCTATTGCAATTCGGAAGTCCTGACATACCTTTGCAGCAGGAAACAACTGTTTGGCTGTACCACAGTACGTACCACAGCACGTCTGAAGTAGTACAGGCGTTACCAATCATTGAAAATGGGCCACTGTTGCCTCACTAGTTAGATTTGTGATTATTTGAGGATTATAATTAATTTTCTAATTGGCACAAATCTAACATCAGAAGCGGGATACATATTTACTCCCCATAAATACTAATACATTACGTGTAAGTTTCAGAATGGCTCCGTCTATCCTGGAAGGTCTTATCGACGCGATGCGAGTAATGCTGTATCTGGCCATCGCCATGATGATAACTCCCGGTCTACAATCCAGCAACCAGGAACAATGGTACTGAAAGCTGGTGTCACAACATCGAAGAGTTGTCAAAATAATTTACAACAGTTAAAAGGGAACAGTTACAAGGGCTGGTAAGGACTTTAGAGTTTCCGCTTGAAATGGTTGAGTCTTGGGAACGATCTTGGAAAACGTTTCGTGCAGACCTGTTTCTTTGGGTAATTTCCGTTGAAGTAATTTCTGGAGCGATCTAGAGGTTGAACTTGGTAAAACATTCGTATAGACCTTAGATTTGTTCCTTTGGGTTGTTTCCATTGTAGTAATTTCCGGAGCGATCTAGAGGTCGAAGTTGATAAACTTTTCGTACAGGTATTAGATTTGTTTCTTTGAGTTTTCCAACATTTCCATTTCCACATATCTAACACACTCACCAGGCTAAATGCAAAAAAAACAATTAAAACTTCCACTCTATGTTCGCCGTACGGCCCCTGTACTTCCAGAAACCGGTGCGTGGGCCGGGCCTATCATAGTAGAAACCGTATTACATCTATTCTATTAATTTATGTGTATCTTAATTATAACTGTTATATCGTTAGGTTGAGAAGTAAGTGAAGTAGATTTGCTTATAATATTGAAAACTGATAAATTAAACAAGTCATAGTGAGACTTGTGAGACTTTGTAGAATTCGTATTTAATTTATCTTTGAAATTTTTAATATGCAGGCGTAAGGTGGTAACAAGTCTGCAACCCTACGTGTTTGAACCGTCAGTTCGATTTCCTCATTCTCACATAAAAGGTATCCTACATAACGAACATTTGTTAATCTTTTGTTATAAAGTCATAGTATAAAAGTTGTCTAATGTATATTTTTTCCAACCAACGATTCATTTTGCATTACGGATGCGGATCTAACGCTTATAACTATTGTCTCATTGGCAATTCATGGAAACGCCACGTACCTACTAAACAACTGAATTAAGCATTGCAATACTGCTTTATGTCAGTGATTATTTCTTGTCAAATATACATGACTTGTTTGTCTATCAGTGAAAAAGAAAGATTTAATCGCCTAATAATTCACTCGACGCGGTGAATTATTTAATAGTATGAAGATCATCATATCGTAATGATCATTCAAATTTTGTACAAAAATGGACGAAAAATTTTCTCGCGCCAGTCACTGAGTTAAATAGCTTATCTCCCTACTGACGAAATATCACCGTATTTTCCTTTTTGGCCTCTTCTACTGTGTTTCTTTCCTTTAGAGCATATGACCACTTTTTCATGTAATATTTCACTAAGAAATATTTGTAAACTAGAGGCCTTTACTATGAAAATTTTTAAATTTCATCTTAACTGCATAATGTAAGTATACATCATAGGTTGTAGAATATTTTGTGTAGGTGTTCATATTTATTGGATGCATGTGATTATTGAATTAGACTTTATGAAATTTTATAATAATAAAAAGGTATAAAACTTAAAACCTATTTTTGCGGCATTTTCATAAATATAAGCATATAAAAGTAGCGACCGTTCGTACTTATTTTTAACCGACTTCAAAAAAGAAGGAGGTTTCTCAATTCGACCGTATATATATATATATATATACACGGTCGATATATATATATATATATATATATATATATATAATATATATATATCTTTATGTGTGTTCGCGGATAACTTCGTCGTTTATGAACCGATTTTGATGAATATTTTTTTATCGGAAGGGAGACATCCCATGGTGGTACCATGATAAAGAAACCCAGATCTGATGATGGAATCACAGAGAATTCGAGGGTCATCATTGAATCCTATAGGTATTAACAATGTTTTTAATTTTCTGACTGAAGTCGGTTTTTTTTTCTAAAAATTATACTTGTATAAGATGCGATGCATTCTAACGTATTCAATTTTCATATAATGTTGGTCTTTCATGATACGATAGTAAAATGAACTTTAAATCTTAAAGTGTCTTGGGTGGTTGTTATCAAAGATGGTCCCAGTTAGCAACTATTAGCGATATAAATACGTCATACCCGGTAACATACGACAGTTGCATATTTAATAGATTTTATCAGATGCGGTAGATGAGGACATACGAATAAGTTTTGAAAGTACGTATAGAATACAAAACAAGTTGACAAACAATTACTTAAATAATGTTTAATTTCGTTCTTATCTCATTATTGTATTGGTCCTTATTGTGGCCTACAGTTATTTCAATAAAACTTTAAATAATTATACGATGAAATGTGAAATATTTTTCCTCTAAAATTTCAGTTTTCAAATGAAAATGTCTTAAAAGCTTAAATAATTCGTTCAATCGAAGAAAAATAATTTGTTTCACTCAAACAGTGTTGCAAAGAAAACAACAAAAGGTTATATAAAAATATTCAGTTGTTCGTTCATCTTATAAATAAATCACTAGGCTTACCTCTTGCATGAACCAATGCCCGTCGTCTTCTAGATACATCTTCTTGCAAGGTCTATCGTGGATCACAAACAGATCTTCGGCAGTGTCCAGCTTGACTCGTCGCTGGAACGCATTTTGGAAGTACAGATCCACCCCACTCTTCAACAGAATGTCCACATCCTCCATTTTAGTGCAACTCCTCTTGTACATCACCGATCCTAGCGGGCAGCATTTCCTCAAGCAGGTCTTCAGCTCGCACACGCAACCGAAGCTCCTAATTTCGCCGCTGATATTCTTCGAGTAGACGAGTTTTGGCGGGAAAGCGACGCCATCTTTGAAGACCGTGCCATCGCTGAAAACTTTGCCGCCGGAGACGTCTATACTATTCTTGTCCTCGCACGGCTGTCCACTCGACTTTAATACGAGCGGTACGATTAAAAATAAAACCGTAAACATTTCTGATCATTTATTTAATACGATTCCGTCTCGCGATATTCTCGCGCTCAAACTGGTTTGCGAACTTTTTGCGCGGCGCGCGGCACGGTTCTCCGCGGCCGATAATGCCACACTAGGCTACCACAGCCCCGTCTCTCGTTTATATGTACCATCGAAAAAGCGACCACAATTCCAAATGGATTAATGCGGTCGGCTCATGATATTTGTGTATACAAATCTATAAAACGTACTGTAATACTAATTGAAGTAGTTTTAATTTGGATTTTTTACTCGGTGCGAAATTTCTATTCGATAATATATTATTAATTCCAACTTAATAAAACAAAAACTATTTTGTTTTCGTTTCGTCCTAACCGATGTACATATATGTGATATTTGTAATAGCCATCTTACAGTTTTGATTTCAGAAAATCTATGTAAAAGTCTTTCACATTTGCAACCGCTCCTTTGTAACTATATGTTTATCATATCACAGGTTAAGTGTGTATCAAATTACAATATATTATGTTTCGGATTTTTCACAGTAAAAAATTTATTCAACTTACACCCATTACGGGGTACGATATTGAGTTCGCTCTAAATGGAAGAATAATTGCTTCGTCACTCTTCATTATTTCAAGAAATTGTAGGAATAATTTGCAGACTGAAGTTTTACAGTAGGGTTACGTAGCAGCTTCTACTATAACATGATGAATTCAAGACGCCTTTCTTGTTATACTCTCCTAGATAAGATCATGAGGATATTAAACCAAGAAAGGAAATCCAAGGCTTACGACCGGTTTCTGAAACACTGATCACCGTAGATGTCAACTAACAAGTTCCTTCCTATCCTTTTGACAGCTCAAATAACATCTGAAAATCCATTTAACAACTTGTGACATCTACGATGGTCATTGTTTCAGAAACCGGGCGTTAATCTTTCAAAGGTTGACAACGCAATTGTCAACCAATGCGTACTGTGGTGCCCAGGGCGGCATAACCATTTATCATAAGTCGAACCACCTTCCTGCTCTTTAGACATCTACAATCATTTAAAAGTTATCAAAACTACTTGACTTGAGATATTATATACTCGTGATCTAATTATTAAAAGGTGGCAACGGATATGCAAACCTACGGGTGTTGCAAATGTCCATTGGCGGCGGTTATCATTAAACACCAGCTCGTTTGTCACTATGTCACATAAAAAAAAGTTAACGGTATAAAAGCTCAGTTAGTGCTCAAACTGGAGATCCTTCCTGTTTACTTTATACGAATTAAGAGAACTGAGTGATTACATATTTCGCTTAATTATAATAATAATTTTATAACTTTTATATATGTAAATATTTGTACGTGTAAGTTAAGAATAGTTTTAATTACGTAAAAATGAGACTGCGCAAACTTTGGTTAACCATAATATAATGAATATAATTATCCTTCTTTCTTCTTATAAAGAATTTATTGTTTAATAGTTTAATATTAAAAATTATTAATGGCCGATTTTAATGAAATTTTTTGTGTCTCTTTAGGCTGATTCGAGAATTGTTTAGATTCACAATTCGGTCCACTACAATTTTTTTTAATTTCTAAGTTTCGAATTTAAGTCGCGTGTACTCCTGTACAAAGTCTGTCCGGTCCATTAGTATGCTTACTATATAACATGTACTACATATTGTTATAACTCCTGGTAATTACTTGGTAACTTTTGGCGTTTATTATACGATATTTACTTTGGTTGGTTATAAATAATTAGTTGAATTTTAATTGTATTTAAGTAATGGTTTGTATTCTGTGTTTTCCTTAAAGCTATGTACAGTTGAAACCTCTTTTGGTGTTGCTATTTACATATCAAGGAGTTGTAAACTTAAATCATATCAGTCCGCATTTCCATATGAGCTCTTTTTTACTTGCTATGTTATAAAGATTGTTCTTCGATGCTTACGCCCAACACGCACGTTTTAAATAAGCACATAAATTGTTGTTAACAATTTCAATGGTGCAGACATTTGAATTCCAGTTGGAGTACTTGATATAATGGGCACGATATTAAGCTTCGAAGAATCATATCTTTGCTTATACTCTTGTTGGCTTTTGAACTTTATCGGGCTCTCGGATCTACTTGTTCCGGCTGAATTTCAATGCAAACTTCATCTAAGTTAGCATCCATTTTCACGCTAACTTAGATATAAATTTACTACACGTGCAAGACGCCACAACGGCATATATGTGAGGTGTAGGAATAACAGCTCTGCATTTCACTAACCGTAGACATACTAGCGACCTGCCTCGGCTTTGCACGGGTGCAATGTATTATACGAATAAATCTCTATTTAGTAAAAAAAACCGCATCAAGATCTGTTGCATAGTTTTAAAGATCTTAGCATACATAGGGACAGACGGACAGCGGGACGACTTTGTTTTATAGTAGTGATATCTATATGAATGTCATGAAATAGTATTTAAGGAATTAACAAATTTTTATAAAAGCCAGACCAGTTAAGTGAAGAATAGACCATTTTATAATTTTAGAGAATCAATCAATCGGACATATGCCATAAATCCATTTTATTTCAAAATCTTTTTTAAAAAAATTGTCGAATTATTGTTTTTTTCCAACAAAGTGTACTGCTTCCTCGGGATCTTTTAGAGTCTTCTGTATAAAAATTATGAGAAATTCGCATTGAAATCTAGGCTGTTGGCTAGTTAGGTGGTTGGTCCGGTGTCATGTAGACTGCACCCTCAACTACCGTGCGAGGCCAATTTTTCCGAGACACGGTTATTTCGGGATGCAAAAAGATAGCTCCGTGTAGCGAGATTTATGGCAACGTGGAATGCCACTAATGTGATGTATGTGCTAAGTAGACGGCTTATGTCGTGCTGAAGGTGCCCAGCCTGGACGGAGCAGCACCTAGGAGTGTTCTCTACCGAGACACAGCGGAAGGATCGCTACTCAGTAAGTTAGTAAGTTTTACATCTTATTAACTTGTCAGTGGAAGTTGTATTCAGCGGCGATATTTACCTACAATAAAACAGCGGGTAATTTTATTTATGCTTATATTACAGTCATAAACTATACCAAAAAGCTATATTACTCTAAATTACTACAACCTTAGTTTCAATGAAAAGGTAACTATTTGTTAAGAATTATCACTGTTATATTAGGACGGAGGCAGAAGCGAAAATGCTGATGGAGAGTCAGCGGAGTACTTTAAACACTTAATAAAATGTCAAAAATCTGTTATTCACGAATTTAGTATATTTTATTTTCCTTGATTACACGAACATTTGACCGAACAGCCCACGAAAGGTAATTACTTACTTAGCTAGCAAATTACAACTTTATAGTGCATTAATATTTACACAGATAATATGAGATCACCGTAGGCGTAAAATTGACTATTCATCATTTGCGAGCAAACTCCGATTCTATATATACTGCGTGTCGTTACAACCACGATAATAATCAATCCTTACTAATATTATAACAGCGAAAGTTTGTATGTATGGATGGATGTTTGTTACTCTTTCACGCAAATACTACTGAATGGATTTCAATGAAACTTTATAATAATATAGCTTATACATCAGAATAGACATAGGCTGTAATTTATATACATATTTTATGTAAATATATCAGTCTTGCTGTCTGAATGTTACGACTTCAGCCTATTCTACGCAGACGTAGTCGCGGGCATCAGCTAGTACAATATAAATAAAAAAAAGTTTTATACGTAAGGATGTTCTAAAAATGTTTGTTTTGTAAAATTTAATAACTCTGTAAATATTGATGTTTAAATAATGTAAATGCTTAATACAATTTTAAAAAGTTATTCTGTAATGTGTGTTAATTTATTGTCGCGGTTGTAACGACACGCTGTATACACATGTAATTGTTGTATGAAACAGAACCATGACTAACATAATAGTATTTGACTGATATCATTGCGTTTGCATATAATCAAAGCAAAGATCATTGCATAAATAATAAACGTTTTGAAATTATATTGTGAATGTCTGTGTTGGCTAATATTGTTGATTAATGTCTCAATGCAGGGGTTTCTGCGAGTACCGCAGGTAGTTAGGTATATTAAAAACTTGACACAACTTCTTTATTTATACAAATTGTGTTTCTGTTAGTTAGCAAAGGCCGACAAGTTGTTATGATGCGAGTGTCCATGGGAAGCACTTGCTATCCGGTAATCCGCTTCCTCGGTTGCAAAAAAAATTAATTTATCCAAGGTCTTATAATTTCTTACATTTACTTGTAACCGTAGTCTTTCTTTGCTAATACCCTGAGAGAAGTATTATGTCTCAAATCTGAGCTTAATATAATGATGGCTTGATAATTATAATAATTTAATGATATTCCATGTACGGTTGTGATCATTTACAATAATCAAACAGCATTCTCTATGATACTACGGAAGGTTTTTCACAAAAAAATAAAATAAAATCTGTAGTTTGTCACATGGTAGTAGCGGACAAAACATTTATAATTATTGCATTTGAAAATAGCGACATCTATGAACAAATTATTGAACTAACTTGTTCTATATGCAATAATTCACACGTAAACTAAAAAAAGATATTAAAGATTTAATTCAATAAAATTCCAATTAAAAAAAAATAATGGATCCTCAGCTCTTTCACTTGATGTGTTATGTTTTAGTTAAGAATCGAAATTAATTTTAAATAAATAACATAAATAATACCTGTGCTATGGTACAGCTTTTGTTGATGCATGCCAGAGCCGTTTCAATGAAGAGGCTCGCAAAAATATAATCAATTCTACGATGTTACCATAGTAAAATTTATATTTTTGCGTTTAATATATATCTATAAGTTTATGACAGTAGTGACATGAGAAAGCGTATCCGACTAATATAATCCTAAGTACGAAAAGCATTTCTGTAAGTTTTATTGAACTGTTATTTTTATTATTTAATAGCTGCTTATTGGACTAAAACATTCACCGGTCTTCAAAAGTCGTTTAAAACGGATGGCACAAAAAATATAGATTTACTTATTAACATATTTCGGTTTCCTTTATCTTCTTACAAAGCATGGGTTCTTTCATAGAGGCTCGAACGACTCCAACAAAACTTATAAAATTTTTCATCACTTCCGTAAATGATAATATTTTGTATTTACGGAAAACAAATTACAAAATAAACAAGATAAATCCGCAAAGCTAGTTGCAGTTAGTCACATTGATAATGTTTCTCATGTTGGATTATTCGTTTATCTATTATAAAAAATGTAATTTACTACGAAATAAGTATATGTAGGTAGTAAAAGAAATGAGCATAGATAAGACATATACTTAAATGAGTAAAGCTGCCAAAATTATTGCGTGATGTAGGTAGTAATTGATGTATAACAACTGCGGTCCAAATTATCAATTATCAAGTATCAGCTGATATATAGACTACTTGAAACGATGTACCCACTTCGCCCGATTCATACGCGGAATTCGGGCGGCCCAATTTAAAACCTTTGGGAATCGGCATTAAGTTGAAGTATGTAATAAATTATTTCTAATAGGATTCGATTCGTGTTGCCATACATTAACTGAGCTAATGTAATTACAGTTTAAGTAATGTATTACCACTTAGCCAATTTGTTTTCGCCGGACAATTCAATCTCCACTAAAATAATATTAAGAGTCACGCGAATGTTTAACTAGTCAAATTGTACTTAAGTTATATCAATTAAATAAAATATAACAGTAAGTTGAAATGGAATACTTTTGAATGAAACTAATTTTTACGGATTTATCGCGTTAATTTTTTTTTATTTTTTATTTTAATTCCCGACGTTTCGAACCGATTTAAGGTGGGCTCACACAACTGCAGACTTGTTCAATCTACTATGTAAATCGGCCTAACCACCACATCATCTTTAAAAGACCACAGATCCTTGCAAAAGAACACCGATTCCTCCCAATTCAATTTTCGGGATTAAAAGTTTTCAAAAAAATTACCGATTCCTCCCTTTAATTCAAATTTTCGGGATTTGCTTAAAAATTAAAAAAAAAAAAAAAAAAAAAAAATAATAAACACTATAAGTAAATTTCGTTTATAATGTGTAATCGCGTAAATACAAGAAATGATCATGAAATGGTTTTGGTTGTATCCTTGTAATGTATGCTTTGATTTGTTGAACTTCCGATGGTCTCTGTATATGATATTTTTATAGAATGTACAGTACAATATAATATTAAAAAGTGTATTTAAGTGCGAGTCCGATAAGATAAATTTTCGAAAAAATTTCGGCGGTGTCAGGATTTCACTTGAGTTTTCTGAATAACGCCTCTAGATTCTCTAGTCTACTGAGCAAAGTGGTTTAATATCAAAGGCACGAAAATAAGCAAGCATAAGAAATTTTTAAAATTTTGTAACATTGCGACAGTTTTAACTATCTACACATTTCATGACAAGTAACCTCGAACAAATGCTTACTATATTTTATCTATCTAATAATATCTTTTTACATTGGTTGTTATAGCATAAGTGTCTGTCTTATCTAGGAGTACGCAGTAGTATTAAGTACTTACCCCTTTTGTCTTATGGTAAATGCACTTCACGATGGATTTGCTTGTTGTGACTCCATAAAACTAGTTCAGTTCTAAAATCTATTCAGTTTCACCATGACACCCAAAATTTTACATTTTTTTTTATAAATAAACAATGAACTTAAGAAAATGTTTTGAACAAAAATTAAGTGCCATAATAATTATGTTCAAAAATATTCATTTTTAATAAACAATAAAATTTTTTAATATTACTCACCGGTTGAAAATAGTAGTGATTATTAAGCTTGTACTTCATTCGGCACGTGGATCCTTCTAAGATTAGAAATTTTCTCGTAATATTTTCCTCTCCTATTATTTTGTCGAGGAATAGCGGCTGGATGCTTCCCATGAAGTTTACGGAATCATTCAGAGGGACACAACGTCCCAGAGTTACCATTTTCATTGAATAACCGTATCCTATTGGACAGCATTTGGATAAACATTGGCCCTGACATAGACCTGTTGCCCTGACGTTTATTTTCTTATAAGTTACATTTCCACAATGTGTGAAACACAAATTATTTAAAGACAACAAAAGAAATAGTATTACACTCCACATTTTTCTTAAAATTATCGTCTAAAGTCAAAATTTTTCACTATTAAAATGATTTGGTCGTTTATTATTCTTCCATGAATAAAATGCTGTTAGCACGTATGTGTCAACAGTAGCGGTAAAATTGATACTAATACTAACTGCAGCCGGATATGCATTTTATATTCATTTCAATAGCGTTTTATTGTACGTTGGGGAAATAAAGCATGTTTTTTATTACCATAATAGCGAATTATACGACAATTCGCAGAAATTAAACAATAGGTCGTCAATTACAAATTTTAATACTGTTAAAATTCAACAATTAAGAAACATACAATATTATTATTTACAAAAAGTAAATAAAATAACAAATTACGCGATAAAGGGAAAGGAATAGAAAATATTACATACAGACTAAAAATAAATGCAATTTAAGTACGATAAAAATAAAAATACAGCGATGTAACGTAATTTATGCATTTTGATGTTGAATTTGTAAAAATAACAAATATAAATCTGTTCTTCAGAAGTTAATTTTATGTTGAGAGCTAGAAAAAGACATGTTATCACAAAATTTTGAAAAAGTTGTCTTATATGTTGCCTTTAAAGATTATTTAAATCTGTGCAAATGCTACGAAGTTTCAATGCTCGATAGCAAGAAGACGTATGAAAGTATATAGAAAGATGTAAATCCAGAGCCATTCACGCTTACGTAATACTAAAGAGATCTAATTAACATAGTTTGTCATGTTTTATACTTAGTACTTTCTAAATTTCTATAGCATCAGGAAATATATGGTCCAGGTACGCTTGATGTCCGTAACTTTGTATAGGTTTCGGTCTTTCCCTCCTGGTATTAACTCTCTGAGCATAATCTTTACTGTTCCTATCGAATATTGATGCAATTTCTCTCACTTGTCCAGGCCTTGGTCTACAGTCGTCCGACTCAATATGGGGCTGCCTTTTTTCATTTTCTTTGTCATCAACCGTAATTTTTTGTACTGCTTGCGTGAATGTTTGTCTTGCGGCGTTTTTTCCACTTCTGTTCGATATTCTTTTCGGACTGGCTTTAACAAGATCTTGTTCAAGGGAACCTTTATTTTTAGCTTCACTAATAATCTTTGCAGAGTTTATTTCGCTAGTCGAGCCCTGGTTTCTCCTATTTACATTACTACTACTACGCGCGTAAGCATTAGCCGTGTCTTTGCTTTCGGTGCCTCTTACCATTCCAAAGTGAGGATCTTTGGAATATTCTATGTCGATGTTACTTCTGCAAACGTAATTCTTCTTGTAGTTTCCGCCTTGGCTTCTACTACTCCTGTCAGACTTCCTGTAGGCGGGTTTGAACGATGATACTTTGTTGGCGTTGTTGTTCAAGTCGTTCGCAAAGTAACGTGGGTCAAAAGCGTGAGTTCTTTGGTGAGTTAAGGGCTTAGAAAGGGATAAATACTTCGGCGGCTCCCCGTGCTTGCTTATAGTTATATCGTACTGTATATGAGGATCTAGAACCGCATATACATTTTCTTTGGCTTCTCTCTCCAACGACGCTAAAGTTGCCTGTAATAGAAGAACGCAATAATTGAAAATTACGGCACAAAAATCGGTTGAAATGGAAAAGGTGGGGTGCGGGCATTCGTTTTAGTTAATTTCTATGTTAATTCCTTAAAAAGCCGAGTCAACGTGAAACGTGCACTCAGAATAATTAAATGTCTTTCAAATAGTTTCCGTGTAGACAGTACGTGTAAACAAAGTGGATATTAAAGTTTGTTAGCCGTATTTGCAAGTCAACTTAGTAACCAATCTAAATAAATTTATCGCTTTTCTATTCAGTTCCATACTAAAGTTGTGAAATTTTTAACTTCTCGATTTAGAGAGAGAGAGACACAAAAAAACTTTATGAAAATATGAAATATAATGCAATAAGCCACGAAATAAAAAAAAAAAAAAAAAACATGAAATTTAGAACTGTATAGAAATGCAGAGTTATTTTAAATCAAAATATTTGATTAATGCAAAACTAGAAAGTGCTTTTAGACCCTATATTACGAAATAGCTCATAGTTTTAATCAAGTTTTTAGTTGTAACTGATGGTAATATATTCCTCCTCATATTATTCAGATCTGTTAACAAATTTTAACAGTTTCGATTGCTAGTTTGACTATCTAAAACAATTGTTTAATTTTAAAAAAAAAACATAAAAAAAATTTAAACCAAAGTGTGATTTTTCACACGGGAAAATGATGAATGTTTTCGATGAAATTTCGAATGGAGATAGATTTTACAGTAATGAGGCGCGACTTTGTTCATGGTTCACTAATATGTAATCATATCCAACAGTTCACAAACTCGATGAAGATCATATATCAAAATGTGGTAAAGACACTAAAGAAAAAACCCATAAGAAATACCAAGGGCCTATCATAATGTCGAAAAATACATTAAGGACCAAGATGTGTGGAAATGACTCTACTCTTGCTCTGCAAGTCCCCTGCCTGCAGCTATTTTATAATTAAATAAGTTTGTATAATTGTATCATTAAAAAAATAACGAGGTAACAAGATCGAAGAGTTTCTTGCCGGTTCTTCTCTGATCAGATCTAGTTTAGTGAGCCGGGGGTAGTTTTTGATGTTCAATAAGATCTAAGCCTATATTTAATAAAGAAATTTTGAGGTTTTTCTTTGACTTTGAAAGAATTAATCAAATAACCTTTTCACCTTATTGTCTTTAATCTGGGCCGCCTACCAGTAGGACCAGTCACGACTAGAGAGCTATTAGATAATACAGAGTCGCGTTAGTGCGTCCACACCTGTGCGTTCACACGGTGGTTGGGGGCTGCAGTACGACGGCGGCTCGGCGGACCTGAAGCGCGGCGGGCGAGTACCGCGAGCCTTCAGACTCCATCGGGCCAGGCACACCGGTACCAGGCACACCGGTACCAGGCCGGCCGCTGGCCTGAGAGTGCGGAGTGTACACCGCGTCCGCTGGCAGCACTTTCACGTCACTGTAGGGTTTTTTTTTAATTTTTCAAAACATTTTTTACTGTGATTGGGCCAAGCAGCAGCCTCGGCTGTTGTGCGAGTGGGCAGGCTCGTCCGGGTAAGTGCCACGACCTCACGGAGGACCGGCGTGAAGTGGAGCGTATATCATTATAAATTACTAGCTGCCGCCCGCGACTACGTCTGCGTAGAATAGGCTAACGGCGTAACATTCAGACAGAAAGACAGATATTTATATTATGATGAGATTTATAAAGAATGTATATAAATTATAGCCTATGATGAATAAGCTATATAATTGTAAAGTTTCATTAATATCCATTTACTAATATTTGCGTGAAAGAGTAACAAACATCCATCCATACATACAATCTTTCGCCTTTACGATATTAGTAAGGATAGGCTACGTGTTACTTTGATGTATACGATTAGTTAGTAGTTTTTGCGTGAAATAGTAACAACCATCCGTACCGATATTTGTTACTCTTTACACAGACAGATGTCGCTTCAGATACCCAAGGCTTAATGCAGCTGGGTGTGGCTTTGCTTTTACCGTATGTGCAATAATAATCGATTGCTCGCATCGTTACAATTTTAGTAAATTAATGTTTTATGGGTTTCGTTTTACCCTTTGGGTACGGAACCCTAAAACGGGGAAGTTTGAATCGCAAATTTGAGATCCGGATTCCGTTTCCCAATCTGCAATAACCACTATCTCGGATTTGTGCCTGGTTTAAAGTTAGCTGACAAGTTGAGTCAATAAAGAACCTTGTATTTGTGAACTTTTAATTACAACTTTACTCATTTTGTGGGCTTATACAGTTTGATATTTATTTGACGTCGGTACGGACTAAACACTTCTCACAACTGAAGGTGAATGGTAATTAGATCATGTAATGCATTACCTCAGGTGAAGTAATGTAGAAAAGTATATTCTGTTTCATTTGCCTATTTTATTGGGACGCAGTGATTGAAGAGACACAATAGTATGAGAATTTGCAACTAATTTTGCTAATGGCAAACATATGTGTATTGTAACGATTTTAAGAAACTCATACTGCATTACAATTATAGCCATCTGTAACCTAAATAGCTTTTATTAAAAATAAACGTGTATGTGTACTAATTAGGTTCAGATGAAGTTATTTCAGATGAAACCTGTTTTGACACATTGTTGGTGTTCGAACATTACTAAAGGGAAATACAGGGAGTATTTCCCTTTATAATGTTTTAGGCTTATAATTTTATGTCATAAACTTAAAAAAACATTCATAATACTGAATTCTGTATTTAAAAATATTACTTATAAAAATACGAATAGCTTAAAGTCTAAATCTTACCTATTTAATTCATCAGTCTTATATTCGACACTACCTGAAAGAAAAAGAAACGTTTTGTCCATATAAATAATGTATAAACAAATTAACTGAATGCACAGGCAGGATACAAATAGGTTACTTATCTATTTATTAAAAGGATGTTGAACTTCCGAAGAAGATATAACAACAGATAAAAATAAAACGAGAAAAAATTACATAACAAAGTCCTTTCAATTAATGTTTTATATTTAAAAATCAATTCAAACACAATCGACAGTGAGGGCATTAAGCTTAAATTAAAATATCTACTTGAACTTTATAAATCAGAAATAGCCATCGTTATAACGAACTTGAGTCTAGTACCGGCTACGAATTCAAATATTCTAACTTTGCGTACCTGGAAATCGAGTAACACATATAGTTTAAATTCTATTAATTTGGATTTACCTTAAGCCCCTCACTAGAATCCTTTTGGTGAATAGCAATCGACTCTAAATAAACGTCAACGTATTTGCGTTTGGGAATTGAATTCCCTAATCTCATCGTCTGTGTGACTGATTAAAAGCTGTTAAGCAAACCGTTTCTCAATGCGCTTCAAACTCATCCGAGGGTTAAATTGCTTGAACTCATGACACACAAGTGACCCCGGCGAAAGCTGCTTAGTACAAGACGCTACTTATCACCTTGTTGCGGACATGACAATGCATTTACCATCACGAAAACTTTACTTACCATCAAGATAGAGGCTTGTTAACATTTTCAATAAAATTGAAATGAAATGGAAAAGAGATTTTATTTATTAGTGCGCTTACTTTTATTCACCGCATGACATATAAAATGAAAAAAAGATGGCAGAATGTAAACTATGTGGTAGGATCATGTAAGTCTTCAAGTCAAGGATAAGTACCACGACCACGCAGAAGACCGGCGTGAAGTGGAAGTGTTACACTACTGCATTTCCTCTGGTGAGTGAGGTAGCCGGGGTCCACTTTATTATAAGGTGACAATGCATATGCAATGGGCGGCGGTTATTACTTAACATTAGGTGAACCACCAGCTCGCCTGCTACCTTTTCAAATAAAAATGCGAACAGGCATTTACTGAACTGGTGCGTACTGACTATTGTTTACGTCGAAGACACTGGCTCAAAATTGGGTCGAATGGTAGACAAAATGTTCGATCGTGGAAAAAAGCACACGCTTGACTGGATCAACCACTGTTGTCCTTGAGGAGGCCTTTACTGATCCACTGGGCTTGAGGTGGCCGGGCGCTGAGGGTGAATAGCCTATGCCTGGTTAAACGACTGTGGTTTTGACGACCCGAATGGCGTAGTGGGTAGTTTACCTGCGCCGGACGGTGTGGGTTCGATCCCCACTACTAGAAAAATATTGCGTGATGAGCATGGTGTTTTTCTAGTGCTTGGGTGTTTATATATGTGTTATATGTATTCATTTACAAAAGAAAATATATGTGTTATGTTTACATTTGTTTTTTTATACAATACCCATAGTACAAGCGTTGCTTAGTTTGGGACTAGAGAACGTTGTGTAAAAATGTGTCCTAAAAAAAAAACGCTGCAACTCACCTCTCTTCCGTCTGCAACGCACTATGAGGCACAGAAGCAGCACCAGTAGTGCTGCGATGACGAGCGCGGCCGCTATCAACGGCGCCACGTGCGCAGTCTCTGTTAGCGAAAAATTCTCTGCGTGAAGAGATATCACGGCTTTAAATTAATCGAACACGTTGTCACGTTTAAAGCGATTGGTTGAAGATTCACCTTTCGCTTCGGATTGCGGTAGTTTTATACTGCTATACCCTATTTAATATTATGGATGAAGTGGATGAATAGAATTTTCGTATTTAAATTCCAAATAGTTGGTCGATATGTGATATACGCAAATTGTCGGTGCTGAATTCAAACCTGCGTCTTACGGGTATATAAGACGACACTATACCTATTAAACTCTTAAGTTTGATCTTAGGTACAGATTAACACTAAAAAAATAATAATAAGAAAATGAAATAAAAATAAATGATTTATTAGTCAACGTCAGCACGAAATTATTAGGATTTTTCTCAAAATCCTGGCGAGTTGACAGAAAATTTTAAATCTACTGCTGTAATATTCTACGGGGATAATCATATTTTAAAATGCCCCCATATTTTTAATCCTGACTTGGTGGAGCGAGATAGCGGGTACTATTATTTCAGTTTAGTTAAACGTCCTTTTAAGAAATGTGTACACGCTTGCCAATAGCATAAGAATCTTTATGAAAAATGCATTGTTAAAACAGGCTCCTATTTCTTTAAAATGATCAATCATGGGAAACAGACTTAAAATCACTATACAAGAATACGAATTGAGAAAATCAAGTGGGTAGTTTTAAAAAACAGCCAAGGCCGCACTTACCGTGCACGGTGAGCGAGACGGCATGAGAGGAGAAACCTCTCTCGTTCTCCACGTGCAGTACGTACACCCTCGCGTCTGCGGTGCCAACGCTGCTAATTGTCAGAGTGTAGCGATAGCAGCCGTCAACACTCTCCGACTCCAGTGCTCTGTACCGACCTGGAAATTAGTTTAACGTTAATACGAACCACAAACGCATACATAGCAGTTGCTCGAATCGTTTAGTCATATCAAAATATTGCAAGGTCTTTTTTGAGAAAATTTTATTATACGTTACTATCACTATCTATTTATTTGGAATAAAACATTATTTATTATTTACTCGAGCTGAATACATTGACAATTTTAACGATTCTCTGTGTGTTTACAGAAGGAAAGTACTATTTATTAGTATTATATAGTATTTTATAGTATTTCACTAGTTAATCTTATAAATTTATAGAGTAACGTTAAATTGATAGAGAAAAGAACAAAAAGTTTTTCGCCGCTGCGGGAATCGAACCCACCCTTCGGGATTCGCGCCCAGACATTTTAACCACTTAGATTTGTAAGTATTATCTATCCTTTTTCAGTTTTGAATTTTTCATTGTTAGTTTATTCTGTGTATTTCATTTTTTATGTAACTACTCGTAATTTTTATAAACTTTATTGTCACATTATTGTAATCTATTGTACACCACACAGTTGTCCATAATTATTAGGTCCAATGTTTTTTTGTTTCTTTACTTTTTTATTAATTGTCGAAATATCTATATTGTTGCTGTGTTTATAAGAATACTGTTGATGCTTCTATGAAAATCAAATAAATAATATAATACGATAAAAAAATTTTTGAAAAAATTGGCTCGTTACGAGTTGTTTTAGAGGAGGCCTTTGCATGTGGGACATTTATAAGGTGGTACTGCGTGAAGTCGAAACGTCACCCATGTGTGAGGGCACGTCCAAGCGCAGGCTGCCCCGCAGCCATCGCATGTGTGTGACATGTATATGGTGGTACTGCGTGAAGTCGGTACGCTACCCATGTGTGAGGGCACGTCCAAGCGCAGGCTGCCCCGCAGCCATCGCATGTGTGTGACATGTATATGGTGGTACTGCGTGAAGTCGGTACGTTACCCATGTTTGAGGGCACGTCCAAGCGCAGGCTGCCCCGCAGCCTTCGCATGTGTGTGGCATGTATACGGTGGTACTGCGTGAAGTCGGTACGTTACCCATGTGGGAGGGCACGTCCAAGCGCAGGCTGCCCCACAGCCTTCGCATGTGTGTGACATGTATACGGTGGTACTGCGTGAAGTCGGTACGTTACCCATGTGGGAGGGCACGTCCAAGCGCAGGCTGCCCCACAGCCTTCGCATGTGTGTGACATGTATACGGTGGTACTGCGTGAAGTCGGTACGTTACCCATGTGGGAGGGCACGTCCAAGCGCAGGCGGCCCCACAGCCTTCGCATGTGTGTGACATGTATACGGTGGTACTGCGTGAAGTCGGTACGTTACCCATGTGGGAGGGCACGTCCAAGCGCAGGCAGCCCCGCAGCCATCGCATGTGTGTGACATGTATACGGTGGTACTGCGTGAAGTCGGTACGTTACCCATGTGAGAGGGCACGTCCAAGCGGAGGCTGCCCCGCAGCCTTCGCATGTGTGTGACATGTATACGGTGGTACTGCGTGAAGTCGGTACGTTACCCATGTGTGAGGGCACGTCCAAGCGCAGGCTGCCCCGCAGCCATCGCATGTGTGTGACATGTATACGGTGGTACTGCGTGAAGTCGGTACGTTACCCATGTGGGAGGGCACGTCCAAGCGCAGGCTGCCCCGCAGCCATCGCATGTGTGACATGTATACGGTGGTACTGCGTGAAGTCGGTACGTTACCCATGTGGGAGGGCACGTCCAAGCGCAGGCTGCCCCGCAGCCATCGCATGTGTGTGACATGTATACGGTGGTACTGCGTGAAGTCGGTACGTTACCCATGTGGGAGGGCACGTCCAAGCGCAGGCTGCCCCGCAGCCATCGCATGTGTGTGACATGTATACGGTGGTACTGCGTGAAGTCGATACGTTACCCATGTGGGAGGGCACGTCCAAGCGCAGGCTGCCCCGCAGCCATCGCATGTGTGTGACATGTATACGGTGGTACTGCGTGAAGTCGGTACGTTACCCATGTGGGAGGGCACGTCCAAGCGCAGGCTGCCCCGCAGCCATCGCATGTGTGTGACATGTATACGGTGGTACTGCGTGAAGTCGATACGTTACCCATGTGGGAGGGCACGTCCAAGCGCAGGCTGCCCCGCAGCCATCGCATGTGTGTGACATGTATACGGTGGTACTGCGTGAAGTCGATACGTTACCCATGTGGGAGGGCACGTCCAAGCGCAGGCTGCCCCGCAGCCATCGCATGTGTGTGACATGTATACGGTGGTACTGCGTGAAGTCGATACGTTACCCATGTGGGAGGGCACGTCCAAGCGCAGGCTGCCCCGCAGCCATCGCATGTGTGTGACATGTATACGGTGGTACTGCGTGAAGTCGGTACGTTACCCATGTGGGAGGGCACGTCCAAGCGCAGGCTGCCCCACAGCCAGGCGGCCTTCCTGGGCGGCGGGTCGGCGCAGACCGCTGCCTGGACGCGCGCCTCGGCGCCGCTCCAGCCGTGCGCCGACAGGGCCTCCGGGCCCACGGGCGGGCCCAGCACGTTCAGCGCCACCGCCTCCGACTGGTGCGACCTGGTCGGGGTGTCTCTTTAGGTTCCCGCGCCCAGCCGTGACTGCAGCGCATTGCTGAGACTCCGCTGTCTGTCTCTCTGTCTGTCTGTCAGTCTCTCTGTCTTCAAGTGATAGTCAAGTCAAAATTTCTTGATTCAACACAGGCTTATTTTAAACTCTTATTGAACGTCAAAACTACCATCGGTTCAATAGACAAGACCTGCGTGAGAAGAACCGGCAAGAAACTCTGCGGTCATGTATATATTTTTTTTTTATTTTCTTTTATAAATTCTTTATGTATATACACAAGTCTTTTAGCAGTATTATTTAAGTATAGTATTTCAGCAGGAGCCAGGGTACTTGCTAGTTTGTCTGTCCCTCAACAGGCTGTATCTCATGATGGGATTTCATATGGGAGCCGTATTTGCTGTTATAGCGGCAACAGAAATACATCATCTGTGAAAATTTCAACCGTCTAACTATATACTGAAGAGACTATATACAACTAATATAATTAAATGGAATAGTATGATATTATATTTTGCAGGCGTATAGTCGGCAAAAATAGATTATTCGTTTCATTTTTCTAAAATTTCTGTTCTGTTAAATATTACTACTTTTTCTATGAATAACAAGAGAATTTAAAACTTTCACACGAAGTAATTAAAAATAATTATATAGTAATCATAATAATATTTAAAACTATCACGGTTCATGAGATACGGCCTGGTGACAGACGGATAGACGAACCGAGAGGCAGACACACAGACAGCGGAGTCTTAATAATAGGGTCCCGTTTTACCCTTTGGGTACGACACCCTAAAATCTCGTTTTGCAAAAAGCGCATTTTGTTTTAAGTTTCTATTTTTGGAGATTCGTTTAATTTTTATTATTTTTATTTTATACTCTTGTTAACTAGTTGACGAACGCAGCTCGTTACCTTATGCTAAGTCAAAGTCAAAGTATATTTATTCAATATAAGCTTAACTTAAGCTCTTATTGAACGTCAACAAAAAATCTACCACCGGTTCACTAAACTAGATCTGCATAGAGAAGAAGTCGTTACTCAACATTGTAGGTCTGATTAATAATAAATAAATAAATAATAAATATTGCGGACACATTTTTTACACAAAGTTTTCTAGTCCCAAACTAAGCAACGCTTTTACTATGGGTACTAGAAAACTGATAAACTTACTTAAACATACTTTTCTTTTGTAAATAGTAAAGTAAAGTAAAGTAAAGTAACAGTCTATACATGTCCCACTGTTGGGCAAAGGCCTCCTCTATAGAGAGGGTATTAGGGCCATAGTCCACCACGCGGCCCCACTGCGGATTGGCGGACTTCACATATCTATATATTATTTCGAAAATATGCAGGTTTCCTCACGATGTTTTCCTTCACCGCGGAGCACGTGATAAGTCAGCACTTAAAGTTAAAAACTTCATTGGTGCCGGCACCGGGGATCGAACTCAGGTTGCTCGAGTATATTGAATTAAAGGCGAGCGCCCGGACACTGAGCTATCACGGCTCACGGCTCTTTTGTAAATAAATACATATTATACATGTATAAACACCCAGACACTGAAAAAACACGATGTTCATCACACAATATTTTTCCAGTAGTGGGGATCGAACCCACACCCTCTAGCGCAGGAGGCAGGGTCACTACTGCCCACGCTTATCGGGTCGCCTATTGAAAGATCCGTTGGTACAGTGATATTAATATATCATATTCGCGTGTCAGTTAATGAATTAACTATAAATAGTTCGTAATATATTAAGACTTCAATTCGAAAAAACTAAATTCCTAAGAGCGATAGGTGGGTCAAGTTAGTGTTTACTACAGGTAAATATCTCCAAAGGACATTCATTCTTTTCTTTATTTTTATTTGATACTGAAGTTTCCGAAAAAGAAAAAAAACACACAAAATCCCCAATAACACAGTCCGTCATGTTTCATTTCATCCAACGAGTGTTCTCAATATATTGCAATTTTTATAACAAATATTGAATCGAGCCCTACTTCGCCAATCGAATGCAATGCGAATTGGCACGAATAGATTCGAGAATGATTAAAAGTTATCCACCAAAGCTTTTAATTTTACTATGCGTTTTAAATTAGTACTGTATTTTGTATGGACTTACTTACTTTTTATTAATAAAATCGATTTTATAAAGTTTTATTATTACATTAAAATACTTTGATAGATATAAATAAGATCATGCGAGTGTATTTCAGAATTAAGAAGGAAATAATGAATGTTATATTGGGTTCACTTGAGGTATGATAAGAGAAGTTCTTTATTAAATTGAAAGTGGTGTAAATTAAGAAAAGAAGAATAAGTAATATAATAAAGTCTAAGTACGCAAAAGGTATCATTGCCTTTGAAACAAATACATAATAAAGTACCTTTCTTCGAGTCCTATGAGATTCTTAGCAACACAAACGTATTGGCCATGTTGATTATAAGACACGTTGTATAACTGCAGTTGAGGGGTAGACGATATTAAGTAGCCGTCTTCTAACAAATTGTTGATGCTTCCGGATCCAGGTCTGAAACAGAAAATAAATTATGAACTCTGTAATTGTATTTTCACCCCCTGGCCTAAGGACTATGTAAAACTTCATCGGATAAAGCTTTGTATATTTGGTTTCATAAAGTTTCAAAGGATTATCTACAATAGTATATATGTAAATAATACGAACGTTTTATACATAGATTGAATATAAAAATTATAAGAACTCAAATTTTAATCGATCTTAATAAGATATATTGGAAGATGCTTTCTAATTAAGGCTCGAGACATCAACGACATTTGATATTTTTAAAAACGTCACATTAATTAAAATTATGCAAGCTACAGACCCTTATATGGTATTACCACGCGGCTAGAGCTGGTGCTGTACGGACGAGTCGACTCATCCTGAGAAGAACCAAGCCTTCAAGAAAGGTCTATGTGAAATAGAAGTACCATAGTTGTACGTTTGGTCTAGTGAGGTAACCAGGGTCCAATCTTTTAGAATATGATAAAGTATCTCTATCTCAAGTTTTGTAGACGTTCATGGACGGTGACGGTGGTGATCAGTTTTATTAATTTCACATTGTTGTGATTAGAATAAAATCCATGATGTAATGATGACATTATCATGGAGATTCAATCATGAAAAACGTTTGCAAATTTCAATAATTTTTAAATGAACAGCCAGAGCCAGAGCGGTATGGAAGTTATCTTGTACGGTAGCAATCGGAAGGCATTTAGTTGCATGTATGGCCTATATGTATTGCCCTATTCTGTAAATTTGTTAACGTTATTGAATAAAATAATAAGTGTATCGCCTACCTGTGATACCATTGATACGAAGGTGGTGGGTTGCCTTCCGCTTTGCACTCTAGTGTCACTTGCGAAAATAAATTCGCCTCAACGACAGTGTCCGGACCCACCCAAGTCACCCGAGGTGGATCTGAAATTACGAAATTTGCTAATTCCAAATTCACAAGAAGAATAAGAAGAACATAAGAAAATAACTGAACTAAATATAGGAGCCCTGTAACATTTAAGTCAAGTTGGATTTATGTAAATAGAAAATGATTGTTGTTGTGACTGCTCAGGTTCAATGAAAATTTTGCATTATATAGGATAGAAATATAGACGTGATGCAGTGCAAAGTAATCGTAGTAATTCAGGTAAACCTTAAATAAAAGACGGTAGACAGACAAAAGTCAGAAAATGTTTAGTCTAAGCATCTACGATAATTGTTTTAAATTTGCTACAGATTCAGTACTATATGATTGGTAAAACACTTACATTTGACGTCTATTTCAATTTTTACAGCATCAGAACTGCCCAAAGAATTTCTCGCCTGACACCCATAGATTCCTGCAAAGAGAAACCTTTAATAAAATACATAATTTGACGTTTTGTAATGGAAACTCTCGTCTTATTGACACTACTTCATGACACCTTCGTAGACTAACCTAATAAAGAAAATAAATGGGGTAGTTTTGGTATGATTCGCGAAAATAATTACCTGAATGATTCCTCATTATTGGTGCCAGGATCAGCTTGGAGCCGCTTGTGGCAATGACCTGCCCATCTTTCGTCCACCACACGTAAGGTTTAGGGTTCCCATCGGCTTTGCAGTCTAATGACAGAGCACTTGATCCTTCTTCTAGACTAGAAAGACCACTGGCGTCGGCGCCTAATATCGACACAACTGGAACGACTGCAATCAGTATAAATATAACATTTAAGTATAGAATTTCCATAACTTTAACTTTGGTGTATACCTTATATTTACACATGCTCAGTTCCAATAGAACCAGGATTGAAAGTATGATTTGATGTACCTAAGAGTTCTTTCTTATATATCACATAAAGAAGTAAATACTCCTCATATGTTTTATGTGGGAAGCTGGCAGTTCACATGATGTTAAGTGATAACTGTATGGGCATTTGCAACACCATTTTAATAACGTGGGCCCCGGCTACCTTACTTACCAGACGAAAAGCAGAACTATTACAATTCCATTTATCGCTGGTCTCCTGTGAGTTCTTGGTACTTACCCGGATGGTACCTGCCCATTCACGCAAAATGGCCCTACCAAAGTGCATTAATAATTAAATATCCATAAATTGTTATATTGCGTTCAACGGTGTTAGTTGCACTTATATTTTAAAAAGCATATTATATTATGTGTAATATTAATGAGATTATTTAATTACAAATGAGGGAGCCCTGTCACTACGGACACTCCTGACTCATAATTATGAGTGTTTTGAGCACTGTACAATAAGAGCTTTATTATCATTAAAATTAGTTTATTCAGGGTTATATTAATACACGAATCAAAATCTTTGTCCCGCATTTTACAAAAATTGCGCGGACGGAGGAGTATGAAATTTCACACACTTATAGTTTAAATAGAGGAGTGTAGAATGCTAATATTTTTTTTAATTATTTATCAAAAAATTGTTATTTTAAGTGCTGAGTTATCACGTGCTCGGCGGTGAAGGGAAACATCGCGAGGAAACCTGCATATTTTCGAAAAATAACAAAAAAGTTTACATATATATTTCGTAAATATGTGAAGTCCGCCAATCAGCAGTGGGGTCGCGTGGTGGACTATGCCCTGATACCCTCTTTACAGAGGAGGCCTTTGCCAAACAGTGGGACCTTTATAGGCTGTTCCTTTAAATACATTTTTATTAAAATCTAATTAAGATTTCTGAGCGCAACCAGTTATTGCTCGTTGCGTAAATTTTCTAGTGCCTGAGCTATCTGTTTCAAACTCCGGAACTGAGAACAGAAATTTTTATTGTACTATTTCAAAAACTAAATTATTGAAATAGTAGAACACAAATTTTCATTGTTAACTCCGCTAATTGAACGTGGAGCACGTTTATTTATTTGCTTTTCAGATTTTTTGGAATGAGTTGTATTTGTTTAGTCAGTTTCTTAACTGTCGCATTAATATTGCAATTAAAGACGTAATAATAATAAATTTGTTAAGTGTAGCATATGTAAGATCCATACTGCTTATCTAGCAAAAAAAAATATTTGTTTTTTTTTTATAGAAAAAAAAAAAGCGTTTCGCCAAAGATCTAAGCTTGAAAAATATATAGGTTTTGTAATAATCTTTCAGTCAATATGATTTTTAATTATTCAATTAGGGCAACATTACAAGATGGAATGAGTAATCATTTGTTAATTTGTATGCCAATATCTATAGTAATCTATAATAATTAGTTGATTCTATAAGAATGAATCTCCTGAAAAAATTTATATTGAAAGGTGAAAACTAAACAACTTACAGGTGACATCTAGCATAGTGTAGGTGTCTCGGTAGTAGGGCGCTGGATATGACGGGTGATGAGCTCGGCAGGCCAACTGTTTACCGTGGGCGGATCTTGTCGCACCCATCTCCAAAACGGATCGAGCGGCCCAAACTCGCGGCCTTTCGACCTCCGAAGCGTTAGTCTGACTCCATGCCGACAGGCGATCCTTCTCTGAAATACCAAGAAAGTCTCTACAAATCCTTTTCATGATCAAAGCCAAGCTTAAAATTTAAAAACACCTCAAGTAATTTGCGTTCAAATCCAAGCATCGATAACGATCAATTTGTACGTCAAATTTACAGAAATGAATAAATAATTAATACACATAGTATGAATAGTCCATCTGCATACATTGAATAGAATATCTGATTAAGAAATCTTTGCTATTACTTTAATGGGTTCACGAGATAGTTTTCCTCGTAAGATTTCAAAACTTTTCGGATTCAACTAGAAAGGAAGCTTTCCCGTCTTATAAGTTGGTGGTTAATGTTTCAAAACTCCCATTTGAAAATAAATCCTTTAGTTCTATTTATATAGCTGAGCCCAATAGTTTTATTGCACCATTCTGGTATAATCAAGTTTTTGCATATATACGAAACTATTTTTTTATGTTACATAATCTTACAGATGTTTTAGATTTTAATATTTTATCTTTCACCTATTATGCAACACATTATCTTCAATTCATTCCCTGTATAAACCTTGTTTGTACTATCGCTAGAGTTAGCCTTGCTAGTTGAGTCCTGTCACATTCGTACTATTAATTTTGATCGTCACTTCTTCATTTATTCTTCTAATGTGTCCAATACGACTTTACCTACCTAGATACCATTCGATGTACGCTGGTGGGTTGCCATATCGGGCCTCACATACAACGGTTGCTCTAGAACCCGCGGGTACTGTGATGTTCTGACCGGGGAGCACGTGGGATCCGTTGAACAGGATTCTTGGCGACTGAGGAGGGACACGCACCGCTAGTGCCGCTGGTGGACTCGAGAGGGCATCCTGTAGAAAAGGTTATTTGGAACTTTTTTTTTACTTTTTTCTATCAGTTTTCTCCAGGAACCATCACTGCGAGCGGTGTATTTGTAACACAGTTTTCCTTGTTACTTTTTATTATGTCTGTAAAGACTTCTTTGCTCAAGATTAGAAGAGCGCCTGCTATACAGAGTTTGTGTGATATATGGACTATAATCATTTCCGGTTTAAGATTCCGCGTTTAATTATTACATTTTAATTTGTACCTACACACCGTAGGAAAATATAAATAAAATTCTAGCGTGGACAAAAGTTAATTATGTTCTGTCGATGGTTGCCCATTGAATAATTAAAAAAAGAAAATTAAGAATAAAGTGGGAAGGTCGTCGTAACATAATCTCTAAAAGCTTTTTTGGAAATTGAAATTCTAGTTCATAGTAACACAGGGAGATTTTTTGAGAAGTGCCCAAATTTACACAGGAGGTTCAAAATCGGTAGTATAATCGTGTATTGAAATAAAAAACAAAGTTTTTTTTCCTAAAAAAATCCATTCTATATCCAAACAGAACATGTTGACAATGCGATAGTCATTCATAAATACCTAAATATTATTGTGCACGAACTTGTGTGCGTGTTAGTTATGAATGATCGCACGTAAAATAAATGAGTTGCGTATAAATCACGCACTTTTTGAGAGAAAGTTCAAATGAATTACATTCATTTGAACTTTCAAATGAATGTAATTCATTAATTACGAGGGATTTTAAATATTTATCATTTTTTATATAACATTATTTATGTCTAGAGTCTAATAAAAAAAATGGATACACTTAGAAAAGCCACCCTGTATAATATTGACCTGAACATCGTAGTTACTGGCAGTGACCTGGCATTGCCACTGCCCGTCGTCGAGCTGCAGCGTGGCAGCACGGACCCACAGAGAGCAGTCTCCACCCAGCGCGCTGTGCTCGTTTGCCCACTCGTACTTCCCACGGTATATTCCGACGGGCTAGAATCAAATTAAACAATCGCATGAAATAATCTATACATCTACACAAATAAATAAAGTCGGAGTGTCAGTTTGTAATAATGAAATAACGGCTCTTTACTAAATGCATATAGATGTTTAAACGGTACATACAGCGTGTCGATACCATCGCGACAATAAATGAACACACATCTAACGCTACTTGCCAATAATCATAAAAAATATTAACGTTAAACAAAATCCATAATTAAAAAAAATATTTTTCAATCAAACTAATTAAGTAAAAAACAAACAAAATTTGTAACATCCTATACAACTCGCGCCACAACGTCGTATAACAAGCCTCTCCTTCTAACAGTATGTTTTGTCTCTTTTAAATTCATTCAAACCATTCATGTGCTTTGTGACCTTTACAAATGAACTTTACGTTACGCTTTTATAGGTAAGGCTGTTCTAAAATTATTTGTTTTGGAAAATTTAATAACTCTGTAAATATTGATGTTTAAAGAATTTAAATGTTTAATACAACTTTAAAAAGTTATCCCCTATATGTATGTTCATTTATTGTCGCAATGGTAACGACACGCTGTATAAATTTTTTTTTTACATTTTTTGTCTGTGTGCCTGTCTGTTTTTTCCGGGTAATCTCTGAAACGGCTGGACCTATTTTGACGGGACTTTCACTGGCAGATAGCTGATGTAATAAAGAGGCTAATTTATATTTTAGAAATTTTAAATTCCATGCGGATGCAGTCGCGGGCACAGCTAGTTTGATATAAAATTGGTTGCGCCCACTGTTAAATAACTCATTAATAAACATGGAAAATTGTAATGAAATAGAATGCAAAACATAGAATAGTATCATTTTATGTTTTGCAGGCGTAGTCGGTAAAAATAGATTAGTCTTTTCATTTTTCTAATGTTAAATAATTACTTCTTCTATGAATAACAAGATAATTTAAAACTTTCACACGAAGCGATTAAAAGTATATAGTAATCATAATAATATTCAAAAATTAGAATGAAGTATCTTTATCTTAGAATTTGCATTCTTGGAAATTAAAGCAATTCAACATTGGCCACACATAGGATGGATTTCATTTTTCAAACCGAACGTTTTTGAACAGACAATATTTTTGATCGAACAAAATTGGTATTGCTAGAATTTGAACTCATAAAATTTAAATAGTGGTCGTCCGTCATACCTACGGTGACATCACCAGCTGGCGTAAAATTGCTACAAATGCATTTTAACGGTCTCTTAGCAACTGTGCAATCGAATCGATTTTTGGTACGCTTTTATCTTACTTTAAAAATACTGTTTAAAAGGAGGCCTTTTAAGAGGGATGTGCAACATATAGGAATCCCAATATCCCTATTTTACATAATTTTACATTGCTCTAAGTCAAGCTTTGTTAAATCATGAAAGATAGTACGGTAGTCACTGTAACTATTATTTCGCGGAGCAACTAGAACATGTTACTATGCAATTAACGTGACAGTTGTCCATATTCCAATATATTTAATAAATAAGTCTCAGTTTTGCCATAAAATAACAGCCTGAAGTCTGTCATCACGCTGTTATTCCATGGCATTATGCAAACTTTTCATCACGGCCTGTCGACTAAATTCGTAGTCTTAAAGAAAAACTCAATACAATTCAAGTAAGCGTAACTCGTCAATTTAGGGACAGGGGGCACAGTTATGTTATCCTAGTAATTTCGTCGCCAATACAATGTTCATGCATTATTGAATGTGAAGAAAGGCAGCCTTTAGCCCCTTTTTTGTTATACTGTAATGAATACACGCACAGAAAAAGGTAAGCTCCACGCGTCCATATTCTAATGAGTATTTAAAGCCGTAAAGAGATTTCAATTCAGGACTGGGCTGAATAGTCTCAATAGACAATACCAATTGAAAGAAACAGGAAGCCCGCTCAGGGCATGTGAACGAAGGGTCTGTTTCATCGGTTCCCCGTCGATCGAAAACAGTTTGCCTGGTTTGTATTACGGATTGCGTAATACAAAACAACCGGCCGCCATTAAATATTGCCTACGCTATTGATAAATCCAGTATCGTCTTTGGTCATATGACCTCCGAATTCCCCAATCTATCCAATCCCTAGGCCTAATCTCGTAAATAGTAATTGTTTTGCATCGCGTCGGGGCCGTGGTGTTACTCTGGAAGTACCGAGGTTTAGATTGGCTAAAACCAGAAAATCGTTTTTTGGAAGATGCTTGATGCATCTTTTATAATAAAATAGGTGACATCCACAAACAACTAAGTATAAACAATTTCAAACAATTTGTAAAAGCTACCTTAATGGCAAGGGCCTACTATTATATCCAAGAATACATTGAGGACAAGGATGTTTGGAAATGACTCTTGCTCTGAACTTGCAAGACCCCTGGCTGCTGCTGATTTTATACCTAAATAAGTTTGTATAATTGCATCAAAAAAATATAACAAAAAGAACAAGACCGCAGAGTTTCTTGCGGGTTCTTCTCTTTGCAGGTCTAGTTTAGTGAACCGGTGGTAGATTTTTTGTTGACGTTCAATAAGAGCTTAAGTCAGGCCTATATTGAATAAATATACTTTGACTTTGACTTTGATTAATAATACTGCTCTATGTTGGGCTTACTGCACTGTAATACGGCCTCTGGTAAGGGTATGAATATTGCTTTTATCAGTTATATTTTGAAGACGTAAAAATAATATTATGCAGCATTTTGTAAACTGTATTCTCAACTGCTGGAACATGATGATGGATTAGAAATTATTGAATAATTTTTTTTTTGTCATCAGTAGAATATTGTTTTTTCTTACCATTCGGAAAGGAAACATTTCCTGCCACAACAAACAAAACTAACTAAAGTTGCAGTCTACGTTTTATTCATTTTAACTATCACTACTGTATCTAACATTAATTATTTATTAGATTTACACTAAACACCTTAAAAATATTATGTAACATTTTTAAAGCTTAAAGCGTGTGCTCTTAAATCAATAGTCTTGTAATTGATTGTTGGCATAATTTCATTATTAAATTACTATGACTACTAAGAACACGCCAAGTTTAAACAAACTTAAAATGAAAGCGAACGTTAGTTCATTCCATGAAAGGATTGAGAAACCTTATTTGCTAATTAAGAAAGGCCCTTTGGTAATTAAAGTTTAATCTTCTTTACGGTACACTGAAAACTGTTCAATAAAAAATTTAAGTATCTATACAAATAAGACATATTCCTTTAAAAATTACCTTGGACGTGAATACGTACTTTTAACTATTAATATAAGTAAGTAATTTGCAAGCTTTTGCCCATAGTTTATGATAAATTTATTTTGTGTAAGAAGGTGGTAAACGAGCTGGCAGTTCACCTGAAGTTAAATGATAACCGTCTTTTAATACAGCGGGCACCGGCTACCTCAATGACCAGACGAAACGCAGAAGTATAACACTTTCACTTCATTCGGCCATGTTTGAGGTTTACCTGGACGGATCTGACCATTAGTGCAACGGAGAAGACTGGCGTGGTGCTACCATAGTTAAACGATTTAAGTTGAAATTGTCAATCAAAATTTGAAGTATAAAATGTACGTGGTAAAAAAATATATAATTCTTATGTTATGTAGTTAGAAAATCTAGTAAAATATACGAAGACCCTTGAAGCCCGTCAAACCGCAATGGGACTGCATGCCAGTGAATCCTTACCCCCTCTCTTTTGTCCAGTGGTGGGACACACACTGAGCAACTTTTACTTTATATAATCGTGTATTAATCAATAAATGTATCGCTCCCATTGAATAAATAAAACCGCTGAGTAAAGAAGCGGAACCGAAACTCCATTGAAAAGCGAACACTTGGTAAAAAGGAGTTTTTGTGCTCAAAGCCCGACCTCGCTAACGAATGATGGAGCCACGTAAAGGGAAACCGATTTGTAAAAAAAACATAACACACGATACAGTTCTAACGGGTAAAGATGAAGGGAATATATAAAACCAATACAGAAAATAGGCATTCAAATATTCAAAAGAATCTTTGAGAACTTTCTAGATACTGTAAATCGAAAGGAATCTTCATCAGAACAGCCCGCGAAAATATGAAATTATTACAATTTAATGATTAAAAAATTACAGTAATTCAAAATAGAATTAATTTTTTTTCAAAATTAAATTAGATTATATGCAAATGACTCGTAGCGAAGGATAAAATTAATATTTCAAGAGTTTAAAACAAATGCAGAAACGCCTTGTATGAACAGTAGACAATGATTTATTATTGTTGCGCTACTAATGTCAGTAAAAAATATATAATCAATATAAATAATGTTACAATGTAAACTATAAAACTCAAATTTAATATTATGGGGTGTAGAGATAAGTTGAAAGTGTCTTGCAGTAAGCAGCAAATAACGGTTCACAGCAGAATAACGATAGCGTAGCAAAGGTATATTTGCCTCGCTTAGTTGGATTTTAGACTCTAGTAACCATGGCAACTATTAATTCACCAACACTATCTAGTACCAACATGCTAGCCTAGCGGTAACAATTTGCCGCTTTTCGCAGGACACTATATACGCAGAGACTATCCTCCTTATCTATACACTCCGTACTTAATGCTCATAAAACCTTACTCTCTCACACTGCCGTTTACTCTGCGCTGGGAACCGGAGGTGGAATAGGACTTTCATAATCGCTTGGAAGTAGCTTAAGTTTCGACTTTGAGGTTGCATTATATCATGCTTTACCAGAGCTACCTCTGACTGAGAGCGTAACAATAATGCATTTGGCCGTTGTAATATTTTGTGACGTTATAGCAGTACATAACGGTTGTATCGCTAATCGTAAAATAGACATTAAGTCGAATCTTCCGATTAGATCTAGAAATTACGACATTTATAATTGATAACTTAGCTTTATTTGTATAACGTATTGCCCATATACCCCGGGATAAGGTAGCTTTACATCGGTATAAAATTGTTCTGTGTCGATTTAGTAGTATGAAGATCACTCGTACAAAATAACCAAATTTCTTCTTATTACTATATTAGTTTACATTTATATATTGTAATTGTTAATTGATAGTAAAATACAGTCAAATAAGGAAATAAAACATTTTATCATCGCGAATTAAGTGTTACATTTGAGACTGATACGTAACCGATTTAAATTGTATCTTCACGGAGTATTAACCGTGTAAGACTTATCAGACTGTAACTGAGCCATTACGTAGCTGATGCGAAATAATTAAAAGCGAGTATTTTGTTAAAAAAAAAAAATAGGCAAAGTGAAACAACAGTCTATAAAATGGCTCACTATTATGCTATGGTTTCCTCGATACACGAATATGTTAATAGCAGAAATTTGGTCTGTTTCAGGATATTGAACCGCAGTAAATTGTATAGTTATTAAACTACAAAAATTTATTAATACTTCTTTATTATAAATGAAACTGATGTAAGCATATTTTTTTGTATTAATGAACATCAATTTGTAAGTCTTAGAATCCTATAACAAGCGAATGCATCATGAGTATTAAAAATATTTTAAACAAATGATTGATCTAGAAACTAGATGATTTTGGCTTGAGTATACTTGGATTGGGGGTTCTATCATATAAATATATTTGTTAGTAAATAATGCCCATCAATCATGGTCTTTTACGACACCATTTTGCAGGCGCATTTTTACTGTGAACGAATTGATTTCGTCTGGTAACTGACGTAACTTATTCATCTGACTAAACTCGGAAATGTTAAAATTTCTTCTGTAAAGCCAAGTACTCCCCCCTTCGATGTGTCCTATTTAAAATAGCAGGAGCTATTGTTTTAGTTGTCGTTTCTCTAATACACCTTTCGTTTTTGTGCTAAGGTCCCTACCATGTATCATTTACGCATCTTATTTATCGTTGAAAACGTAAGGTTCTATTCGTTTAAGTAAGCGTGGCATTGAATTTACCGCAGTTTTAGTTCGGTATTACGAGTGGATGGTCTGAGTGATCGTCAACGTTGGGCAATGACCATGGCGGTCAACATTTAGAGAGGCTTAATTTAAGTGATACGATTTTTTTAAGTCACGTTTACGCCTGAATATCTAATATTAAAGCAGTAAAGTTTTTTCTGTATGTAGTTTATCCAAGTCATAGCTTGGTAAATGGCTTGTAGATATCGGAGTGGTTGGGATTCAAATTTGCGAGCATTTGATTTACGAATCTTAGATTAAGTCTTATTTTTAGTTTTATTAAGTGATCATCAGTTAATTGCTGTAGACAATACAGTATAACCAGCCAACTCCTTGTAACGTGTGATTTTATCACTTTGTTTAAATTGTCGTTTTTCTAAAGACTAGGCTGCATGTCATATGAACCTTTGCCTGTTCGAAAGGACGAATGTAAAAGTTAACTTCATTTGGTCGTACTTGTCATTTGAGATTGCCGCCGGATCGAATTGACATAGGATAAATTAATTTTTGTGGATCCACTATCTTCGACTGGTAAGTAGTTGCTTGGTTTTGTTCATGCCAGTGGTTGTTTTGTTTGCGTATTTCGTTTTCTTATCAATTCGCTTTTTTTTTACAGTGCATAGCTAGAGGTTGAAATCAGAACTCGTTCCTGGTCGTATTATTTGTGATGCGTCTGCCTATGCTGAATATAGAATATAGAATTGCTGGTATGCTTGCTCAAGAGATAGACGGAAGAGACCACCCTATTGCTTATGCGAGTAAGTCTCTTTCGAAGTATGAACAGAATTATTCCGCTACAGAGCGTGAGGCTTTGGCAGTTGTTTTTGCGGTTGAACATTTCAGACCCTACCTGGAAGGCGGTAAACAATTTAAAATTGCCACAGATCACGCTAGCTTGAAATGGTTTCTGAATTTGTCAAATCCAACTGGCAGATTGGCTCGCTGGGGTTGTCGTCTATCTCCTTATAATTTTGTTATAGAGCATCGTGCAGGGAAGGACAATGTGGTGCCTGATGCTTTATCTAGGTTTGTTCAGTGTGTCGCAGCCGTTGATGTAGAAAACGCTTATGAAGCTACTGGTGACTGTTGGTATGACGGCATTTATAAGAAATGTCTTGAGAAGCCCCTTTCTTGCAAAAATTTCACAATTAGTAATGGAAAGTTGTTGCGTTTTACAAAGTCTAGTAATGGATTAGAAAAGGAGTTCCAGTGGAAAGAAGTGGTATGTGAATACCGTAGGAAAAGCATACTAGAAGAAAATCATGATTAACCAACTTCGGCTCATTTGGGAATAACTAAAACCTATAAGAAGATTTCACTTTGTTATTACTGGCCAAAAATGTATCAGGACGTTGTTAATTATGTACGTAATTGTGAAATTTGTCTGTCATACAAAACACCATCACGGGCAATACCCGGGTTGATGGGTAGTCCAAAGCAGTGTTGTCGGCCTTTTCAATGTCTTAGTATGGATCTAGTGGGTCCATTTCCTGTGTCAAGAAATCGTTATACGCAGTTACTAGTGGTTATGTGCTGCTTTACAAAATATGTTATGTTGTTTCCACTGCGAAGGGCCACCGGTGAGATTGTAGCAAAGTACATAGAAAATGAAGTATTTATGAAACATGGTATTCCTCAAACAGTGATTTCTGATAATGGTACGCAGTTTACTGGAAACGAGGTTACTGCCCTGTTCCATAAATATAACATTCCACAAATACATTTGGGTCCAAGATATTGTCCACAGGTTAATCCTGTTGAGAGACAAAACAGAACGATAGTGGCAGCAATATCGACATTAATTAAAGAAAGTCATCGTGACTGGGACTTACACTTGTCACAAATACAGTTTGCTATTAATATCACAG